TGTTTTTGCCCCTCAAAGTACCCCTTTATAAACCCCATTGCACAAACAAAACCCTGATTGCACCACTAGACATGTTAGTCTAACATATTGTGAAACCCTAAGTTAATCTGACAAGCGGTTTTGGAGAACGGGTGCGGACAAGTTCAAATTTAAAAGCGGCGGAAGAGGAAGAGGAAGAAGAAGAAGAATAATAATAACAAGTAATCCTATGTTAGGATGCTAACACAAAAGTCGCCAAAACGGCCCCCAACCATTGTTCTGCTGTTTCAATGGTAACGGCAGCCATTTTGAAATTTCAAAGTCGGATATCACATCTACACGTGACAGGTCACATTACTTACAAGTTTCATAAAAATTGGACCAATTTTCAAATTTAGGCATTCGTGTTTCCATGGTTACGGTGGCCATTTTGGAAATTCCATAGTCAAATGCCACATCTACATAAGACAGTCAACATTTGTGTAAAGTTTCATTAAGTTTGAAGCATTTTGAATTTTTTGACATTTTTGCAGTTTCCATGGTAACGGCAGCCATTTTGAAAATTCCAAAGTCGGATGGCACATCTACACATGACAGCTCACATTTCTGTCAAGTTTCATAAAGATTGGACCAAATCTAGATTTTTCGCATTTTTGTTCCAAAGTCAAATTCCAAATCTACATACACTCGTTAGCATCTCTGTAAAATTTCATTAAATTTGAAGCATTTTAAAAAAAAATCACATTTTTGCAGTTTCCATGGTAACGGCGGCCATTTTAAAAATTCCAAAGTCGAATTTTAGCTACATATGGTGCTACTTGTAATAATCTATCATTATATCTCTTTGCTACAATGATTACGTGTGTATCAGTTGTAAATACATAAGACGCAATAAGATGTGACAACCATTTTTTTTTTATTGAACAGTTACTATTCTGTTATACAGTTTTGAAATTTGTGTTCCAAAGTAAGTAAAATAATGTCTAAAGGAAAAGATAGTTGCAATTATAAACGACTATCGTAATCTTTATTCTGTTGATCTTTTGCAAAATGATTATACATGTAGTTATTTTCTAAATGTTCCAAAACAGATAAGGTTGTGAAGAATAATTTGTAACATCGTTAATATAGATTCATTTCAAGAAAGGTTGTGCATAATCATATTATAACTTTTAGGAATCCTATTTATTTGAAAAAAGCAGAAAATAAATGCACTATCTGCCACTGGTATTGGAATAAACAAAAGACTACGTACTGTTCGACATTGTTGGTCATTTGCATTGATATATATTTTTTGGACAGTCCCAAGATATTATTTCAATCAGGAAATGCATGCCACTGGTATGATCTGGTATTGTTTGCATGATCAGGGTATATAAAACAATGTACGTAAATTCAATTTCTTTTACCTCAGGAAATTTGCTAAGATAAGATTTGCTTTCTTTGAACTGTAACAATCAATTATTTGCTGTACATATAAATTCATCAATAAAAGATATGCTAATAACATGTCAAAGATTTTTTTCCCGCCCGATTTCTGTTTCAAAAATAATATTATTTTTCTCTATATACGACAAAATATCCTCATAATTTAGTGGAAAATTGTATCAATGGACTGAAGGCTGAACAAATCGAAATATGATGGGATTAAGACAACAGTTTTACCTGTTGAGCGTCTGGTGTACTGGATTTAGACACCAGTTTTACCTGTCGAGCGTGTTGTGTACAAAATAAAAAGCCTGGTATCTTGGATAACTTTTTACAACAACTAGATCGAAACCACAGCTGGTGGACGTTGTGTGTCTCCCAGAGTATCACCAACCCAGTAGTCAGCACTCATGGAATAGCATTGGTGTAGTCATTGTCTGTTCATTATATATTAAACCCATTCGAAGCACTATGGTTTTTCAACCTCCACAAAAAGATGACATTAGCTCTTTAAATTCTTAATAGATTTGGTTTCCAACTATTTTGGTTCGAGCAACCGGTGAAACACACGGCCGGTTTGCTAAATCATAAGCCTGGTGACTTTGCTACGTCTTTACAACCACTGTGTCGATGCCACTGCTGGTAGACGTTTCCTCTCCGAATGTATTGCCGGCCCAATAGTCAGCATGCCTGTGCATGCAAAAAAATCATTAAGGGTCATTTTCTTCATTGAAAAGACACTGATTGTCAAAATGCGCATCTGGTGCAGTACAATTGGTGCAGTTAATGTTGTGACGGTTCATAAAATGTTAATTTATTCTTAAATTCATTCGAAACATTAAATTAAGGCTTTATAACCCTAGATTTAGGGTGGCAGTAGCCATATTTGGCACAGCACGGATTTTGGTTTTAAATGCTCCTTAACGTCTTAATTGACTTTGTTTTCAAATGTTTTGACTCGAGGGCCACTGATGAGTCTTGTAGAGACGAAACGAGTTGTGACGTAATGATAAGTATGTTCTCAGACTTTTTTACTCAATACCATCGTCCAACCAAATTCACCGGCAAATTGTTATATTTGCACACAAACATACTAGCCGATTAAAAAAAAAAATTAATTGTTAAGATATATTATTTATAATTTATTCAAATGTTCTCTTATATCCTTGAGGCATCGTCCCCTGGTATCAACTGCATTCAAGTTACCTATGATGCTTCCTGGTTTGCTTTTGATACAGGTAGGAAAGAGACATTTACACACATTTTACATGCCTATGGCCCATAAGGTATCGCCCCCTGGTGTCAGCTGCCTTTAGGAAACCATAATACTTTCCTATTTGCTGCTGACACAGGATGAGTCATGGACATGCTTAATTTCTACTTTCTTTTTGGCTAATTATTATATGTTTAATTGATCCAACTTTTTGTGTACTATACATATATGGATATCTATTTTTCTTTTTTTCTTTTTGGGCTGCTTGTTTGTTATCTATATCAACCACACTTGCAATAAAATGCATTAGTATTAAAAAAAAACATACTATAGATTCTTTATCTACGTATTCTTTAAGAACTTAAATAGTTCTCGTTAAACTTTTTTTTTTATCTCATTGTTTGTATTGTATTATGAAAAATTATTGATGTTGTAATGTTTATGCCCTTTGGGGCCCATAATTGGAAATAATAAAAAATATCTATCTATATTTGGGTCATTTCACTATTTTTCTAATTCCTCTAAGAAATGCCTTTTGAACGATTGTAGTGTGCGCAGAGCAATTTTCGTTTACACAATCTTAAGAATGAAAGTTTTATTTTGACGACCAAAGTTGGAGGATATTACATTTCCATAACAAATTCTTTAAATATTTTAATTTAGAAGGTGCATTGTTTTCACGTCGTTTTTTTTTCCATGATAATTTTTCAATAATGTTTTCATATGGTTGGATAGCGGAAACTCAAAGGATGGCGCTGTATTTTTTTAATATTTATTGAAGTTTGATTTAATTTATATTTTCCAATTAAGGTAGATGGGGGTCTAAATTAAAATCCACAGAATTTTTCAATGATTTGTCAAAATGTAGTTTATATGATTTTTTTTTTTTTTAATATAATTAAAAGTATGGGTCACAGGGCCTTTTTTCACGCTACAGGTTGTGCAAAATTTTTAGATTTTGTATAGATTATGAATGGAAATAAACTCATCATAGATACCAGGATTGAAATTTGGTATTTGCGCTAGACGCGCGTTTCGTCTACAAAAGACTCATCAGCGACGCTCGAATAAAAAAAAGTTAAAAAGAAACCCAATTTTGTGTGATAAAAAGAAAACTACACCATAGAATTTTAAGATAAGATACGAGAAGATAGCTCTTATAATATGCTTTCAGATAAGAAAAAGAAAAAAAATGGGGTCACCGGAATCGATTTCTTGCTACATAATAAAATAGGTAAATTCACAACACATTATATTATAAAAGTTACTTTATCTGAGTTATCTCCCATTAGATCAGAGCTATCTCCCCTTATGTGGTACGCATAATTTAGTAATCTTATGACCTGCAAAAGAAAATCGGTACTTTCGAAACTCTGCAAATTTATTAAAATTGTTAATAAAGGGTTGTGTGATCCGGGCTGACATCTCTCTCATACATGTTGATTTGTTGATTTGTTGATTTGTTATTAATATTAAGTGTTCTCTGTACCATTCCAATGTAAATGGTTTATTGAGAAATAAAGATATATATATGACAAAGTTGGGAAAAAAATTAATCAAACTGAAATATTCTGGGGTTTTTTTTGTCAAATACAGGCGTAATTATGATAAAACACATACTTTTCTATATTACCATGAAAATTCTTACACGTGAATTACAAACTACTCTCGAAATTTGCACATTTCATTAAAGATCTAGACCGATTGTTATCTGCTATTTCAAAATCCAAGTTGGAGGAAGACACCCTAGCTACCTTAAAAGGCATTGAAATGTTTTTTTTTTTTAAGTTACCGATTTTTTTACTTTCAAAATTAGGGTTTATTCTTTAAAAAAAAAAACACATTTCTGGTATCTAAGAAACCATATCATGAAAAAGGCATTGCAAAGGGGAATAAGCTTATATATCTTTTTAGATTTTTTTCTGAGTTTAGACCTTGTAATTAACAAATGAAAGTCAATAACTCTTGCTTAGTTGTCTCAGTGAAAAACTAGAACTTGTAATCTATAATTATTGATTACTAACAGGAGAATATAATATTGATTAAACAAGTAAAATGTATCCCACTTGCATTCTTTTTAAAGTAGATTTTACTTTTCATCTTTTCTTTTAAAATATTGCATCGGACGATTAATCCATAAAAATTCATGATGTCAGTGCACTAATGTTTACCAACAAAATATCATATGCTACATAACCTACGTAACCTGTAAAATTTTGTATATTCCAAATTCAAATATTGATAGGCAACAATTATATTGAATGCTGATTTAAAAATATACAAAAGAAAGCTGTATGACACCATTTGGTGAAAATATATTTGTGCGTTGCAGGTTTATCTTTTTTTTAAAGTTATTTTGAAGTTTTAGGATTCATCATTATGCGCTCTTTACTGTGGAGACAAAAACAGTGTACATCATGACAGACGTAAGAATTTTTTTCTTTATCAGTTGATTTCTCCCCTTTTCAGACACATATAGCTCTATATTTTTAGGTAAATGAAGATCATGGGTTAAATTTTGATTAAAATTGTTCATATCCTAAGTTGCCAAACTGTCGTTTTGCCGCATAGTGATAACCTTGACTTGAAAAATGGGATTGGGAGGGTCTCCATACAGGCAGTTTTTTAAACTTTTTTTCTTCCAAATTTGCAGAGCAGTCCTCTAATTTAGTTATGTGATGTAGATATTACCTCATCTGTATGTGTATGAGTACTTTGTGGATACCAATACTGCCTTAAATAGATAACTACTGTTGTAGACCTGGAGATATAAAGGTAGTCTAACTAGTTGAGTTAGGGAAGATCTTCTTTGGCTCAATTGGTTAGAACTTAGAGCGTTGCCTTTAGATCCGGAGATTGAGCGTTCGAATCCCGATTATACCATCCATGGATTTTCACATCATTGGCGCTGCAAGCAATTACTACTTGTACAAACGAGTGTATATACATGATATAGGTGCCTGGCAGTTTGATATGGTCATGTGTGGATGACCGTGACATACCTAGGTGGAACTGGCCAGAGGATTTCCGAGTAGATGTCTCGGGGTTGTAGAGTAGTGGACCTGCTAGTTGCTCGGATGGATGGTACACAGCCCGAAAAAAGAAAAGGGGGAAGAGCAGAGCTCCAGATAAGCTGCGTATTTGCGTGATCACGCAATACAAATAATTAAAAACCCAATGCAATTGCCCATTGCAGGGATCAATAACCCAATTAATTCAAAGGAAAACCCAATTATATGCCAAAACCATGAGTTCTTAATGCTTTTATTCGCTATCGTTTGTGTTATTTACAGTTATCTTATTACAGTCGTCGCGTAAATCTATTTTTATAATATTTATAATTGGAAATGTCCTTTCGTTGTTAAAATAGAGCCCTGCATCAAGTAGCTGTAATGGGTCCCTGTTGGAATTTTCCGTTGCTCAAAAGGTACACTTGTTTATGAAAACATTTCGATCTTCTCGGCGTTTATCCAATTAGCGTGTGACATGCTGTCATATTTTTTCGAATTGCTCGGGATTTATCATAACATACAATGAATTAAAACGAAAGTAAATGTCCCATAAAAATATTGAATAGAAGCATGTTTTCGGCTTCTTTTTGATAGCTGAGGGAAAGTTATGATGATAACAAGACTCAGCTAGTGATTTTAGGAAGCGTCCATTGAACGCACGGGCGTGTTTGCGTACCTTAACGAGAACATTGCTATAGAACGATAAACACGGGGTTTTGTCAAAAACGAAATCAGTTGGAAAAAGTGAAAGGCCAAATCAATTATAACATGATATGTAGTTGGAAAGCATCGGAAACCAAAAGTTCTGATAAGGGACAACTTAACCCAGATTTATGTAAATTGAATTAAACAAAAACAGTTTATATATTATTTTTTTTTTCATTTTAGTTGATGAATGATTACACATATCTGTTTTTTACGTCAAATTATGCAGCTTGACACTTTCTTTGTTTTGGTCTAATTGTTCTGGATGCTTAAGATAGTTGTCTTATTGGCAAGTGCAGTATAGCATTGTCATTTATTTACTTGATGTTGCAGAATTATTTGTAAATTTAAGTTGAATGTGGTCTCCATCATTAAACCACCCTATAAATCTCAAGGTTTTGGGGTATATCTTAAATCTGGGAACTACTTTTTATTTTTATTAAAAAGTAGATCTGGCAAATAGGTGAAAGGACTGGCAAAACTTTCTTACAGCACCTAAATTTCACATATATTACATAAAAATCTAAACACTTAGCCACACCTACCCCAACTATAAACTGTAGGGTGATCATATGGGATCTAGAAAGGCAATAAGTTACTGTCCAACTAGTGACACCAGCTGCAGTTTACATAAGTTTTGAGAAAATACAAAACTGACAGAACGTTTAAAACAGGACACAAATTAAACGTACAATTGCTCGTCAGTGAATAAACCAAATAAAACAGCTAAGCACATATACAAAGAAAGAAACACATTTAAGATGGAAACACATCTGGGGTTGATATAATGTGATTATAACATGCCTAAATATTCAATATTGTATTGATGAAAAAACCCAATTCATTAAGGAGCTTGGTGGTGAAAAACCCAATTTGATATTTGCTTGAGGGGTGAATTGGAATTGATAATGCAATTAAAAAACTTTATCACCCAATTACATAAAAAAAATGGTGGGTAAAAACACCAATTTGTGAATTCTGATCTGGAGCTCTGGGGGAAGAGTGTTGTAGACCTGGAGATATAAAGGTAGTCTAACTAGTTGAGTTAGGGAAGATCTTCTTTGGCTCAATTGGTTAGAGTGTTGCCTTTAGATCCCTAGATTGAGGGTTCGAATCCTACTTGTACCATCCATGGATTTTCACATCACTACCATGCTTTGAGGATTGATTTGCAGTTCGTGAACAACCAGACTAAAGCAAGAAAGTTGATGATTAAACCCTCCATCCATACAATGCATACATTTAAGATATTTAAAGAAAATCTAGTAGCTGTCCACAAATTTTCAAAAATATAAATCTAAGAGCTACGGTTTCACAGCTACTATTGGATGAGCTTCAGAACGTTATTGGTGCATGTTTGTTTTATTTCTCATCATAAATTTTAAGTGTTTGGTAATCAGATACATGTATACAAATTTGCTGGCATTGCATTTTCTTATCCATGGTTATTGTTAAGGTGGGTAAATGTGTCCTAGATGCTATATTTTATGTCAGTTGTTCTCACAGTCAATTGTTGCTGTAAAAAAATATACCCAGCATGGAAAAAGAATCAGGGTGAACCCAGAAGAATTTGTATAATTAAAGGTAGTTTTACTTGATTGAGTTTAATAAAGAAAGTCTTCTTTTAATACATGGTAGCTCAGTTGCTTAGAGTGCTGCCTTTTACCATTAGATCCTGTGGTTGCAGGTTTATCTTCTTTTTTTTATGAATGAGTTATGGTGGTTGACAAGAGGTCAATCTGTGTAAATAACGTCATTGAACAATGGACTCTTACTGTGATTGAAAACATAAGCTGTAAAGCATTGTAACATCTGAAATGTTTTGCTATTGAAAATTTTGATTGTTTGATGTTGCCTACCTACCAAACTAAAAAGCAGCATACCCGAAAAATTTAATGACACCAATCGTTTAAAATTTTTTTTTAAAGATTTTTTCCTGCTCTAACATCGTTTCTTGTTTAAAACATGCAACTTATGTTGTTGGCCAAAAAAAAAAATCCCTACCTACCTATCCAACTCTACAAGGCATGGATAGGCAACATCAAACAAAGAATTTCTTAAGGGTGGTCTTGGGTTTTCTCATTATTGGTTTCACTCAGCAGGGACAAAACTTGAAGGGAGCCCAGTCGCCCATGGCTCCTATATTTTGAGCTGGGCCCCTAAACTTTCAGGTAAATTTCAGTTGAACATATAGAAACTAATTATGAAATATCTGGTCTGGGCTCCCAGCTTGAAATTCCCAAGTTTAGTCCCTGCAGTAGGTTTCTAGTACTACTGTTTGGCATTATAATCTAAAAACATCATGGATTGATTCATATTTATGACAAGTTTAATTCAGTTTTGGTTAAATTTTCATTATATCAAAAACCTAATTTTGCAAAAGAAAGTTTGAATAGAATATCTCAAAGTTAATAAATCATTACAAGCACCTGGCAGGAGGGATGAAAAAGGCTTTGTCTTTGATAGATTTTTTTACAGTAACAAGTTTCAAAATGGTTTGACTTATTGTATTTTAAGTATACGTCTTTTTGAAGATCCAAGTGAATGTATACACGTTTTAAAGTTACAAAGGGTGCAAAACCCATTATGTCCATGATTTGACCCACAAACACTTTCTTTTATTCACTTAAACTCTGATTCTCAGATTTACTTCAGATGAAGCTACTGAACCACCAAACTAATGTAACTGTTCCAGAAAACAATACCTTCTTATACATGTACATGTATATATATAGCTACTATCAGGCATTTTCCTGGGCCCAAAATAATTTTGTTTTTGTTTGTTGTTGCCTAACTGCCAACCTTAAAAGCAGCCTACCCGAAAACTTTTTATGACACCAATCAGTTCAATTTTTTTAAAGAGATTTTTTTATGCTCTTACATCATTTTCTGGTCTAAAATCCCTACCTACCTACCCAACCCTACAAGGCATGGGTAGGCTTATATATCAAACAAAGATTTTTTTAAGGGTGGCCCTGTATGGATTTTGTAGAGCAATTGTAATAATTTTTGGTTGTAGTTGAAACTTTGTGACAGTTACATTGGTAATAGATCAGTAAAAAACAAGTATCACACCACTATGTACCACTAATTACTGGTACCAAATGAAAAAAACAAAATAAAGAAACAAGAAGATGTGGTATGATTGCCAATGAGACAACCCTCCACCAGAGACCAAATGACGTAGAAGTTAGCAACTATGGGAAACAGTACAGTTTTCAACAAGACCCATATGACCTAGCAAGCTGTAAAAATTTTTAGCCCTGAAATGATAAATGTAAAACAATTGAAACGAGAAAACTAACAGCCTGATGTATGTACATGATAAATTAAAAGCCTGTTTCACAACAGACAAACATGTTAAACAGAATATATTAGAGTGTGTGTGATCGCATCACAAGACTTGCATGTAAAGATGTAGAATGTATACCGGTACAGCCATGTGAAAAAAAAACATATGTAAACAGTTGTATGTCAGTTGGCATCTATGTGTATAGATTTTTTTTTGACAGAAGCAATTAAGAGCTTGTGGATATCTTGTAATATAGTTGCAGTTTGCTAATCTTTTTAAATTATTCAAATTAAGAGTTTAGAACTGTTTTTTTTTTCTTTCTGAATTGGCTACCCACAGAACCCTTAATCAGTCATGTTGAACTTGAATTTGAAAAATCATCAAAATCAAAGTTTAGAAAATACTGTACACAGCTTTT